TGGAAATCTTCGTGATAACCGGAGACAGTGGGTCCAACGTTTTGACCTGTATTTGCAAGCGTCGGGAAAGATAAACGAGAACGAGGATGTTCAGAGCGCGATTTGACTGTTCAGACAATTTCAGCCTCAAGCTCACCAATTCATTCATAGTTATGGGAGTCATACGAAAACTTTCCTCTTCCAAAGTAGCTGATTACGACAATATCCCTGTCCACCTTGTTAAAGATGGTGTTGGCATTATTGCTGATCCTCTCGCTAAGTTATTTAACACCTCAATAGGCAGTAGTGGATATCCTACTCCCTGGAAGTATAGACAAGTAAACCCGTTTTCAAGAAGGAAGATGAAAATCGTAATCTAATTATCGACCAATTACTGTGCTAGTTGCATTTAACAATGTTTTCGAGCGTATTCTCTCCAGGCAACTTTGTGACTATTTTCACGATAAACTATCACCTTATTTATCAGCGTCTCGTAAGCACTATAGTTGCCAGACTGCGTTGCTAGGTCTGCTTGACGAATTCAGGATTGCTTTGGACAGTAAGGAGCATGCAGACATGGTAGGTATTGATCTCTCGAAGGCATTTAACTGCCTTCCAGAGAACAGTGTAAAATTTCTAGCAAGTTACTTAATACGTCGGTTTCAGAGGGTGAAGGTTGGTGATGCCTACTCCAGTTTGCTATCTCTTCATAAGGGCGTGCCTCAAGGGTCTGTTCTCGGACCCTTTTTATTTAACATCTTCTTCAATGATTTGCTACTCTTGCCGACCAACTCTAATATAAATTTGTATGCTGATGACACTCAACTTTTTCTCCATGGATTACACCCAATTACAATTCAGACCGCCCTGCAAAGTGACTTGACTCTAGCATCTGATTGGTTTCAGGCTAATGGTATGACAACTAATCCAAGCAAATGTCTCTCTACGTGGTTCGGAACTGACACTAATGATCTCTCTGTTTCACTTAATGGCACTGTCATCGATAGTTCTAACACAATGCAACTTCTTGGTGTCAGTATCGATAAAGATCTTAATTTCAACGTTCATGTTAAGGAGACCGTAAGAAAGGTTAGCCGCAAGTTGCAAGTTCTGAAACGTTATGAACACCTCATCCCAACTCATGCCAAGACGAGGCTGTATCTGGCTTATTTTCTCCCACATTTAACCTACTGTTCCACCGTCTGGTTCCACTGTGGCAAGCGAAATGCTGAAATAATTGAGAAACTCAATGAATCCATCCTTTGTTTCGTTTTTAATGACTTTAATAATTCGTATGAAAATTATTACAAGAAATTAATCAGCCTAGTCTGAGAGCACGCCGAATAAATGACACGCTCATATTAGTTCTTCTAGCATTAAATAATGCTGCACCTAGTTATACTTCTGAACTTTTAACCGAGCGCCAATCCAGCATCGGTTTACGGGGCAAACGCAGCCTAGTTATTCCACGTGTAAATACAACAAGTTATGCTGCACCTAGTTATATTTCTGATCTTTTAACCGAGCGCCAATCCAGCATCGGTTTACGAGGCAAACGCAGACTAGTTATTCCACGTGTAAATACAACAAGTTATGGTCTCATTCATTTCGATATCATGCCATCAAACTATGGAACTTATTGCCGGATAATGTCCATGTGTCTGCTTCTCTTGCTGCTTTCAAAATTGCACTAAAAACTGTACGACTGGATAATAAATGCTGTTCTTCTTGTGACCAATGTGAAATTCTCAAATTACCTGTACATACATGTATATTTTTTTTATCTATAATATTTAATTTTTATCTTATTTCATTGTTATGTATCTATCTATTTATTTCACCTATTGATGTACTCTAATTATTTTATAGATTTACTTTCTTAGGAGATATTAGCAATTTTGTTATCAACAAATTCGAAGTCAAATAAAGTCTTTGATTGATCGATCGATTGATTGATTCTGCTCCATGTGATCGGCGAAGAAGCGATCGAAATCTACAATACGTTCCAGTTCGCCACCGAAGAGGATCGTATCAAGCTTGATGTTTTAAAATCGAAGTTCGAGGAGTATGTGAACCCGAGGAAAAACACCGTGTTCGAAAGATCCGGGCGCTTACCATCTGTATGGAAAACCCGGAAATTCCGTGGAGAATTCAAATGGAACGGTTCATCCCGGTGGAAATTTTCCGGAAAAAAGTAATACCTTTCGAGGTATTACCTTGTCCCCGTTTTCACCAAAACGACCGAAATTTTCTGTACCATTTGTTCGGATTACAGAGCGTTCTAAGCGAGCAAGAATCAACTAAAGGAATTGCATTCATCAGAAACGAAGCCCGTGCATGCGGCGAAACAATCGAAATCAAAACAAAACCCTCGAAGAAACCACGTCAACAACAGGCGTTTAATTGCAAGAAATTGGAACAAAACATACGCCGTTGTCCTACGTTTGGAAGGCTTTGTCTGTTTTGCAAAGAGAAAAACCACTACGCCAAAATGTGTCCACAAAAGAATCCTCCCGTCCACATGGTTGATTCAAGCAAGCATGCCACCAGTGATGGACAAGTCGAGTCGGAGGAATTATTTATCGAGTTTTCCAATTTGCTTGGAACAACAGTTAAATTCAAACTAGATACCGGAGCTGAAGCCAACGTATTACCACTTAGTGTTTACCCTAAACTCAGGAACAAATAACATTAACAAATCAAATTATATCTCGTCAGAAGGGTTGAAACTCTTGCCCAGTCCCCACTCACCAAGTCTGAAATTATAAAGGAGTTCTCCGATGGGTCTCTGGGTTGGGCGCATGGAAGGCGAGTATCACATTGAATTGGATGACAAAGTCGAGCCTGTAGTTCATCCACCTCTCAGAGTGCCGTATAGCCTGCTGGAGAGACTAAAACTCCGCCCCAGAGGTCTTTCAGACGGAGAATGAATCCATATTTAGAGACATGTACGGTGTGGAAGTCATTTTCGATGACATCATTGTCACTGCTACAGAGCTGTTGCAAAGGGTCCGATCGCGAGAGGGAAAAGTCAAGTTCAATACAGCAAAGCTTCAGTACAAAGTCAGTGAAGTCAAGTACATGGGAAACATCGTGTCTGAATCAGGGCTGAAACCAGATGCTGAGAAACTACGCGCCATAATTGAGATGCCATCGCCTCAGAGCAAAGAAGAGTTGCAGAGATTCTTAGGAATGGTCAACTACTTCTCCCAGTTTATTCCCAAACAGAAATTACTGCGCCATTGCGACAACTCTTAAAGAAAGAAGCAGCATGGACCTGGTCGCACGAGCACACACAGTCAGTGGAACGTGTCAAAGGAATCCTGTCTAGCCAACCTGTTCTAAAATTCTTTGATCCTACCAAGCCAGTCAAGCTGCAAGTGGATGCGTCTAAGTTAGGTCTGGGAGGATGCATGCTTACGCATCAAAGTTCCTTGCACCGGCTAAGAAAGGAACTTCTCGCAGTTGTATTTGAGTGCGAGAGATTCATACACTATGTGTATGGAAGGCCAGTTGAAGTGGACTCAGACCACAAACCACCTGTTCCAATCACAAAGAAGCCGCTGGTTAAATCCCGTCCAAGGCTTCAGCGTCTACTTCTAAGACTACAGAAGTATGACATCAGAATTACTTATGTGCCTGGCAAGTACATGCATGTAGCAGACACTCTCTCTAGAACTTCGTTGAATGAGAAGTCTGCTGATAGTGAACTGAATGACAGTCACAAGAAATTTAGAAATAAAGCGCTCATCTGTTCTTTCAGAAACCCCCAAGAAAAATGAAGCCTCTGCAACTGAATGCTGAAGAACATGGACAAAGAATATGACCCATCATCGAAGGTCTTCACTAAATAGTGGAGCCGGCATATCATTGACTAGTTCGATTATAACGTAACAAAAGTAAAGCGCGCGCTCTCTGATTGGTCCGTTAGGCATCTACCATTTGCCCGTGGGTGCACGCCCAAAAACTGAGCTGGCGCGGTAAAAGTGAGGCAAATTCAGCAAATCTTCTCTCTAGTCGGTAAAATGCACCGATGAAATGCACAAATGAAAAGCAGAAGTTGAAGAAAATACTCAGTTGTCGTTTTGAAGAAAAAAGTCAAAAGATCAAGCGACAAATTTGCCCTGGATGAATTTATCACTGTTTTCTTAGCGCCTAGGATCGGCAGAAGGAAAACCGAATCAGCGAAGATTGAGGTACATACAAGGTCTGTTTTGAAATGGAAATTTATCAATTAGCATTGTGTTATTGACTTTTTAGTCCAACCCAACTGATGTCAATTTAAAAACAATTTTTTTTAGGAAACACGGTCAGACTTGAGACAGCTTTGTGGTGTAGTTTTCATCGCACCGATTAGAAATTTTAATTGAGTTACGGCCACAATACGCTGCAATTGTAACGCAAATGTTGTTCGAGTACAGAAACATTTGGGTTTTCAAATAAATTTTTCAAAAAATGACTTCTCGTAGTAACAATTATAAGGGACTTTAACCACGGATTGAATCGAAGGAGCCGAGAACTTACAATTCAGGTCATTTGATCGCCGCGCTCTGATCAGCAGTTTTAACAGCCTGCTTTATATTTTGTTGCCGAGTTGGCACTGTTTGAATTCTGCGCAAGGAAATTTTATTCTTCATGTAAATGACGGTTATATTTTACAGTCGTTTGTTTGGACAAGAATTAACTTCTCTGAATAAAAATCACATCCCATTGAATGCATTGAAGAGCGTGAGTAAACAATAAAGGAACAAAATCACACCTTCCACCTCACTGCCAGCGTAGCTTAAAACACGGTTCTGTGCCCCCGACCCTTTAAACTGATACAATTTATTGCTCTTTTCAAACAAAATTCTCGCGCTTGGAGCGTAACTTCTCTAATATGAACGCGCTGTTTACTTGTGTGATTTAAACCAGACAAAAGAAAGCTCATTTTCCGATGACGATTAACATATCGAAAAGGAACAGCAAACAAAAGACTGAAAAAATCACACCTCCTTTCACCTCACTGCACACGAAGTTTAAAACATGGTTTTTACAACAGCAAGAAACAATTTTGGCAACTTTCAAAGTCGGCAAGAAATGAAAAAAGACAAAAAATCAAGAAACTGGCAATTCAATCAGTACTTGCTCTGGATGAGTTCAAGCCAGTGGAGGTAAGCTGATGTCCTTTTCTTCTGTTCAGATATAATAAGTTAAAGATATATTTTTGCATTAAGAACGGAGGAAGAATTCCACAAACTTGTTCTTTCATAACCTCAGGTACACATATCAAAATGTGCCTTTGAAATTAAATCTTGGTTAAAAAGTACCCTCTACCAAAAGATCCTGCAAGACAAGTAGCACTGGTGTAAAAACGGTTTGCTTTGTTTCAGATTAAATTTGACGTTCAGGGTCAAGAGGTAATCATTCCTCTGTCAGAAGAAGACAGCAGTGAAGAGCTGGAGCCCACATCATCTGAAACTACCAAGAGAGTGCTGGTAGCGAAAGACATTGGTCTGATATCAGATGAGGCGTATCATGAGTTAAGAATGTCCTTGCCAGAAGACCAGCGTTTTGCCTTACCACCGTTCAGTGCTGTAAAACAAGAAAGAAACAAGCAGAATGAAATTGTTAATATAAAATCAATACCTGAAGTATATTATAATTATCTTCTTTAAATACAAGTGCTAGGATCTTTCTGTGGTCTTTATGTAATACAGGGTTTAAAAAACCATAAATTGGGGTTTCAGTACACAAGATTAATGTAGAAACAGAAAAATAATGATCATTTTTTAAACAAACAAAAAACATGTATTTTCATGGTTTATTTCTAACTAGCATGAAAAAAAATTTAAAACACCGTTCTCATTTCCAGGCTAAAAATGGAGATGGAGCAAGGCGCAGCATTAAAGAGGTTTTGGAACAGCTCCTGACCATTTTAAGAGTCAAAAAAGCAGTCCAGTCAAATGGTAAAATGATCAGCCTCCGTTTTGCAGCTGATGGAAGAAGAACAAGCAACAAAATTGGTACGGTGAAGGCTGAATTCAGCCTAATTGAGGAAAAGGAAAATGATTGTGACCACCAGTACTGTGTTGTTTTGTGTAATAGTAAGTTGTACCTCAGTTTTGTGGACTGTAAGGGGGCTGGTGTTACATGCATCACTGATGCATATTTGTATATTAAGCAAACTGCAAAAATGACATGATCGGACACTGACAGTTTAAAATATTGCTATTTACACACTATTAGCCCCGAAAGCAGGGGTGTGCTCTGAGGAAAATTGAAGGGTGTCTACATGAGGCATGAAAAGTGAACAAAATCAATTTTCTCCTGACATTACCAGTACATAATGAAGTGAAAAGGTTATGAGACCTAACAAAATGATCACCAAAAAAAGTGCTTTGATCTTTTATAATTAACTCTCTTATCAGCTACTTCTTTAAGGACATGTCTGAAAATCATTCTAAAGAACTTGTATTTGTGTTCCTACAGGAAACGAAGACTACAAGGAAGCAAAGGCATGTCTGGGACCAATTTTAGATCAAATTGACAATCTCCACGTCAACGGCGCTGAAGTTGACGGTGTTCACTATTCAGTGATTTGTTAAGTACAATACAGGTACAATGAAGCAGCCACTCTTTATTTCCACATTGGCTACAGTCAACTCCCGATAACTCAAACATTCTAGGTAAATTGTCTTTTAGTGTTAAGCGTCAGGTTTAAGTTATCGAGGGCTTGAGTTACCGAGGGTAAAATTACAGTTCATGTATAAAGGAAATCCAGGGGAAATTGACTTTGGTTAGAGTTAGCGTGAGGTTTGACTTAGTGAGGGTTTGAGTTATTGGGAGCCAACTGTACTGTTAATGTAATATGACCATTAAAAATAAAACAAATTTAAGTAAATCATATCACCAGCCTTTTAGGAAAACTGCTTAACCAAGTAAGCACATCATACAGTGCTTGTATTATGTTGATATTATCTGTTGACCAGAAATTAATTTATGTTTCATTTTTTGTCTTGTCTGGTAGGTACTGCTGCTCAGATTGGAAGTTTTTGGCAATGGTGTATGGGTAGAATTCTACCACTGCAAAATTCTTCTGCATATGGTGCTATTGTACCAAGGCAAAAATTGCCGACTTCACTGGTAAGTTGAAAGAAATATACATACACTGCTATTACCATCAGAAATAGTGTATTCTTTTTAAAGATAACCATGTATATCATTTTCTGAACAAAAAACAAATAACTTACCAATATTTGAAAAAGTGCTAATATAGCGATAGTGACCATGTATATTATATTTTGTTGTCGTAATTACTTTTAGTACAAGACTGGCCAATTGAGAGAACCATAGACGCCTGCAGAAGGCAGCATATTGGAAAACGTTTAGACCAGCGAAGAGGTTCAGTGCATGAACCCCTGCAGCCAATTCAATTTGAACGAGTCATCATTGAAACTCTACACCTGTTCCTTCGAATAATGGGACTTCTCTTTCACCAGGTGATCATATTTCTATGTTTAAAACCTTGACCACTTAAATAACCCTTATAAAATGGTATGACAGGCTTATGACTATTTACTGTTTGCTTAGAAAAAAAATCTAATTTAAAAATTCAATACTTAACCAAGATTACATTCTTCAACAATTTTTCAAGGTGGTTGAGCTTGTTATCAACAAGAAAAGAAAATAAGTTCTGGAAAAGCAGCTGGAAGACATTGGTGTACCCTTCAAATTCTTTGAAGTGCAACAAGAAGATGGGCCTTCCCAAACACAATGGATAAGACTTGATGCTAATAATCTAAGACCCTTTATTTATTAAGGGCTTCTGATTTCATGCAATGATGCAATTTCACATAATTGGCCTAAAATCACGTCCAATCACACAATTTGAGGAATAATCACATAACTGGTAAAAAATTGTTCAATTCATGATAAGTAAAGAATGATTTATTCAAGTTTCAATAAACATTTTTTTTCAAAGAAAATGATATTACAAAGAAAATACAACGTCAAGGACAAAAAATGAAAAATAATTGGCTAGTTCTACAGTAAATACATTGTAGTTAGTATGAAATTGTGCATTTTGACATTAAGATTATTTCAAATAAAAAAAGACTGCTGTATTACTATTAATAAACTCAACAACTCACATTTTAGGTAAAGACCTCCGTAACATTCTTTACAACTTGGATCTGAAGCCAGTCTTTGAGGGAATAGTGAAAGAGCGCACGCTTACCTACAAAAAATGTGAAAAAGTTATGGAAGGTAATGAAAAATTCATGCTACTTGAGCCCACAATTTTAAATGACATAATTATTTTGTCAGTGATAAACATATCTAAATTCACTTTTCCTTCGCACTTACAAGTATTTTGCATTTAGGGATTTGATGAGCTCGTTACAGCACTTGAGGCGGAGCCAGGCCAAGAATGCTACAAACCACCTGACCTGTTCAGGGAGCAAGCACGAAAATGGGCCATGTTCTTCCGAGTTGTCCATTTTGATGAGGTACAACATTATTTATTATTCTGGAAGCCCCTAAATTTTAACATGGTTCACTTGTCCCAACACTACGAAAATTAATGTTCACTATCTTGTCGTCTCAACATAATCTTGTCTCATAATTCAATATTTTATTATTGAGAACAATGTATTGATACAGTGTGTATAATAATTTTATTTTTACTGTTTTTCCACTACAGGATATAACACCTTATATACATGGTAAGCTAAACACTTCTGGACTTATTGACTTAATTGAAATCAACGGGTGCCGATAGCTAACTCAAGGATTAAGTATTTTAGAGATTAAAGCTGATAGTGAACTTGCAATTACTTTTACAAGTCTACTGGTATTACTTTAGTCTGTCAAAACATGGGTCACACCATGCAAGATGTCTCTCACAAGGCAACGGCTTTTTTGCTGATTTTAGTTGGACCCAATGAGATATTACTATAAAAACATATGCGATAGGGCTGAAAGGTGATCGAAATTTTGCATGTCCCAGCGCCCAAAATTACTATTCTTGTTCCTATGCTTTGTATGCTATGTCATCACAGATAATACTTACTTTAACTCCTGTCACCTAAAAGATGTACTTGACTTTCAAACATATGCTTGCTTGTTATTTTCTGCAGCACTGGCGTACCATGTTCCACAGTTTCTGGAAGGATGTGGCTCCATTTCTATTTTCAATTGTCAGCCAGTTGAAAAGAAGAACCACGAGCAATCGCGAATGTTCCACCGAGCAACACAAAAAGGAGGGAGAAACTCGCACTACACAAGGCAAGTTATGGAAAAGGAGAACAGGAAAATTTTTGCAAGGGTAAACGATTTGTATCGAACCAAGCGTATGTATCAGAAGAAAGATAACGATGAAGGCAGGGATGAAAGTGCAGGCAGCATAAGAATGTATGATATTAATGATATTGAAGAAGGTTGAGATTTATTTACCAAGACATATACTGACAATAATTTACAAAGTGAAATGATTCTACAAAAGAGTTGTTCAAACAGGATTCAAAGCACTTAACTACAGTTATGTAACAAGAAAGTTCCCGAAACAATGTTATATTTGCTTTCAAAAAACAAACACACCAAGTAGATATATTTTAAAAGTATTGTATATATTCTAGGATCTAAGTTCTTTTTAGGTTCTTAACAGTACTTTTACAAACAACACAGCAAGCTAGTTTTTATATTAAGGTCAATTGCTAAAAACTCAGTTTGCTACAAAATATATTTCAACAAAGTTCATAAAAAGAGTTTATAATATATTTTTTAATATCTGCTTGAGCAAAGTCTGATTCACAGATTAATACAGCTGAAAAAATTAGTTTATAACAGTCAAGGAAAAACATTAAGTAAATGAAAAACAATACACTCACTGCTGATTCAAGTGTTTTTGAGAAAAATATTTTTACCTCATCTTTCAGATTATATATGAAAGATAACAGTGGAAAAATGTAGCTTAACTAAGATATTTAATATTAAGTTAGCTTCAGCAAAATAAAATCTTGTGTACAAAGCCCATGTGAATACTCAAATAGTCTATCGCGAAAAGGTTTGTGGTTATAGACCATATTAAGGAACAAATTTACTTTTTTATTTAAGTTGTTTTATAAAAGAACAACGAACATGGTACATTTTATGTTAAGCTTTAGGGATAAATAAAATAAAAGGTGAATTCAAATATGAAGAGCACAAGAGGCAGCTGGATGCGAGTTTTGTCTTAAAATCGCCGCAAGTTTGAACCCTCCATGTTTTTTCTCTTGGCCTAGTACGCATGCGTTTACAATTTCTTCGAGGGAGCCCTAAGTCACCAAGGTTACTAAAGAGGGGAAGGGACTGTTTTTTCTCTCGTTTTACAGCATTAAATCAGCTTCCCTCTTTCGATTTACAAGGTATTTTACAATCAAGCTTACTGTGAAGAAATCTTGACCGGAGAAAAATGTCCAGCTTTGCCTTGCTATACTGAGGATCAAAAGAAAAAACTTGAATGCCCGTGCCTGGAAATTCTTATCTTTGCCTACAACGGCAATAAACTCAGCAAGTTGAGTACTTCAGTTTCAGATTCAGAATTTCAACATGCTTCTGGACCAGAACTTAAATAGGAATGCTTAACCTTAAAAGCTTTCACAAGGTCTCATACAACAATGCATGAACACAACTTATGTTTATACACTTATATTCTTGGTGGTCGTGTTTGTGTAACCTTATCCAGGAGGATGTAACGCCACTAAAGAAGCCTTGGAATTATATTTAAGAAAGTTTGTTAAGCGAAGGTGTGTATACCATTTAATAAAAGAGGATTTATCTCCATTATCTGGCCAGACTGCTGGAAGAAGAGCTAAACTAACAAAAACAGCAATGAAGAATGAATCTCCAAAAGAGGCAGCCCCTACATATTTGTGTAAGAGATGCAGCATGTTAGGACAATGGGCAAAGAATTACACAAATTCATCATTCACCACAGGAATAGCTTGCAAAGCAGGAATGCTACAAATGTGGAATAAAGGGCCATTTAGCTGCAGAATGTTCTAACAGAGGGAACAGCAATACCTCCAATGAATGGGTTACTGACACACAAGGCATAAATTTACCCGCACTTGTTTCCTTCCTCAAAACTCACGACCTAAAAGAGAACAACAAGTATCAGCACCTCAAAGATGAGTTGCCAGCTGACGTGACAGATATACGCCCATATTTAAAACATAGGTCAGAGGATTGGAAAGAGGCAAGGAAGAACATACTAAATGCAAGTAAAGCGGGGGTTCTTACTTGGCACTTTGGCCTTACACAGGCTCAAGATTATTGGAAATCTGCAATTCAAGGAGAAAGTATTGATGACAACCAGGGTTTCATCAACAAATTAGCCATGGGGCTGGGAACTGTTTGTGAGGACTGTGCTCGGGTCACCTACTATGTAGCGATTACTTGGTTATGAAACAGGATTATGGACAATCAAGCATCAAACATTGCAATAAAGATATGTTTGGGTGTTCACAAGATGATATTGCTATGGTATGCATGGAATAAGTGGAAGAGGTATTGTTGAATACAAGTGTCCATTTAAAAGAGGCTATCCCTCGCACTACAAATCAATCCCAGCAAGCTAATATATGCAAATGCAGTTAAACATGAAAGCAACAAACAGTTTTGACCGGTGTCACTTTGTTACCTGGACACACACAAAAAAAAACAAAAATTGACACCCACATCACATTTTCTCAAAACGGAACACCTATTAGTTCTTAATTGAGAACATGATACCCATGACAAATGATCGTCTTAGCCGTCTGGTAGAGAGGATACCACATAAGGAATAAAAACGTCTACAACGAAGTGTTCCACCTGCTTTCAGGAGTGGGAGATATTTAAAATTTGTATTGATAAGTGTTTAGAAGTTATTAATCTATTTAATGGTTTTCTACGCTATGGAGAAAAACAGTGTAGTTCTGCATTTTGGAATGGAGAGTTAGAATCTGAGTTGCGAGGGCTAGGTAAACCTTGACTTTTTTAGGCTTATGAAAGAAAATGACAATCGAGAGAAAGTAATGAAGAGGTAGACAAGATAGGAAGCAAGTTTGTCTACACTCCTTCAGCAGATGACTGTTCTGATGCTTGCAAAGCACGTGGTAAGGACTGTTCTTG